CAGTGCTTACAACTGTCTCTGGAAGTGAAAGCACCAGAACATAAATTAAGTCATACGCAGCTGTCATCCGTACGCAAGGAAGTAAGCACAAGATGCCGAACACCCTTGTAGCAGGATGCAGCGCACCCTTCATGCGACTCGCCGAATACCTCACGGCGCTTCGCGCTTGGTCATGTGAGAGCCTGGTCCGGTGAGAACCTGGCGTGCTCCGTCCCGGCTTTGTAGGGATGCGAGGTCAATGGTCTAACGACTACGGCATGCACGACTATGAGTACACCCCCCCCCTCTAATCATAGCTGATTGTTTTGGATTGTTTTGTGTAGATCGTGTTCGACGACACCGAACGCCAGAAGAAGACAAACATATCGGCATCTTGGGGGCATGATGCACTTGTTCAGAAGACCTCGTGACGTGGCCCTTTATGGTGTCGGCTTCGGCATGATCTTCTTTCTCTCGTGCAGCGGAAGTGCGAGATGTGATACCAGGCTTGCTGTCTCCGGCGTTTCCTTGCTGACCCCCCCTTTTTCGAGATGAGACTGCCCGAACGGCTTTCAAGCTTGACGCCAGCATCGACAACCGAACGTGAGCTCAGCCTCAGAGCACGTGCTGCCTGCGGGTTGGTGGGGGTCAGTGTCAGGCTCGAGTTCAGCTTTGCGGATATCACGTTTACATCCTACGTCAGTTGTTTGAGTGCGTGGCGGAACTGGAATTCGGACGCCTATGTAGGGTTACGGCGAGGATCCGTACGATTCCGTAGCTTGACCTGTTCATCTAGAAACCTATGTTCGTTTTGATAAACAAGTGCGTCGCCGACAACTATATGTGAGGGATCTCCTCTATACACGCCCCGCATTCGATCCTTGGCTTGGTTACTAGGCAAGACATGATTTATTCAGGTAACCTCAACTCGACCGGCTTGCGGCACGCTGAGTTATTTCTTCACGTCCTTCTGTGCGTAATGACCAGGATTGGCTACGTCCAACACATTGTTGGAACTTCGATATTTTCCGACATCTGTTTCATTTATTTGTACTTAGCGACACACAAAGTACACAAAGTACGTGTGAGCGGAAGGTTTTCCCTCGCTCCTAACCAGCTCAACGGTTCATTATTATCTGTTCTCGGCCGTTGTCTGTGGTTGACCCCGTTAGATTCTTGCCTCTTGCTATGTCCATGCCTTTGTTTTTGGCTGTTGGCTCGCTCAACTTTGCCTCGCAGCAAAGATGCATGGAAGCTCATGAGATGGCATGAATGCACAAAGGGTCAACAGGAAAAACCAAATATGAAAACTTGGCACATGTTTAATTGCAACGACGCGGAGACGGTGGACTACTGGCTTCATGGGGCAACGTGAGAGTTGACGTTTCGTGGTGTGTTAGCCCGCACATTTTCCTTTAACTACCAAAGAAAAGGCGCAAAAAACGAATACACTGAACCCCGACTACAGCGAATGCCATCAAGAATGTACTGCTGTTAACACGTTTCGTTTGTGCTGGACGAGGTACTGGCGTAGAATTCCCCACGGCTGCTGGAAAGCGTGGAAGAGCTTTCCTGCATATCTCTGTACCCGTTGTCGGCTATTAGTGAGCAAGGTTGTCGGAGGGCGCGCGTGCATTTGACGGTAGATAGATATTTATAGACAGACAGACAAACAAAACCCAGGAGGAGAGACAGGAGCCATAAATGTTTGCCATGTTAGATTATGGGTGGAAATGCTGGGTAGGTTTCCGATTTTTTTCGCAATTGCGAAAGAATCGGCAACACCAAATTGCTTTCCTTTCCCTCTTTGGCAATGACTCAGACTATCAGAGGCTATGGGAAGCTTATTGGGCACTGGAACGCCAACAAAAGCACGAACAAGTGCCTAGCCCGGATGGTGCAGAGGGTTGCTCAGAGATTGGACGTGAAAGCAGGTCCGCGAACGGACACCGGTAGTAGCAGCATCAACAGCGACAAACACAGAGGCACCACCACCACCATCCGCAGAAATGAGAGCAGGCTAAAGAGGAAGAGGGTCACTGACTCAACGGTGTCTCTTCAAGCCGGAAAGAGGCCCAGGACAGACCAAGAAAAATCAGTTCGCTCGGATGGCACGAGCACCAGGCAAGAAGCATGGCACATCCCAAGATTGAAACAGTATCGGCTGAAGCAACCTCGATATCGAAACAAGTCGATGTCCACAAAGGTCTGGATCCATGTGTAGCTCTTGTTGCCCCCCGTCAGAATTGGGGGGCAGCTGCCTAGAGACGATGAATGTGACCCTTGCCATAGTTCCGATGGCGGGGATTTTTCCCCGTTTGAAAATTCTTCGGTTTAATCAGTTCTAGACAAAATAGGTGGAGAGAACAGGCGCGTTGACTTCGCCAACCTCGATACGTCGCTCACGCCCTCTCCACAGACACATCTCTCGGCCTACCTGCACTTCGTATCAAATCAATTCAAAGATATGCCGCGCACGGGGAGCGCTAGGGCACGCAGCTTATTATCTCACCGAATCCTTCCCGCGCGCGCTCGCGACTCGAACCCACGACCCGCCGACAGAGTCTTTGGGGCCACCACCGTCTGGTTTTCGAGCAAACTAATAAAAGGTTCACAAAGAACAAACCATTTGTCCTTTTGACCCTGTCTCATTCCCTCCCTTCGCCTGCCACCATGCCGATGCGTCTGTGGCAGCGTCGACGCCAATATGATGGCGGTCCTCACTATCGTTGCTTACCAGCGTTTCGTATCGACCTGGCATCTCCAATGCTCGTCATTGGAGCTTAACAAGGCATGCCGGCGCGAAGCGACTTTGGTCGTGACAGTTGGTGAAGGCTTCATGCCAGTGGACCGCCTGGCTCGAAGCAGGAAGCACAACGAGGTGGGAGTGCGCCGGGCTACGGCCGGAAAAACGATGGCCGGGCCAGGCGTCATGCCGGCGTCAAGGGTTCCACAATCCGTCCGCGCGGTCTGGTATGGGGCATGGATGTAAAGGCACTCGGACAGGGTGAAGTTGACTTCACTCACGTGCGTTGCCTGCAACTCACCGCGACAGCCTGCCAGGAGCCTCTGCCGGATGGGCTTGAGTTGCCGGCGTCCCTCCAGCAGCTCAAATTCAGGGATTATTTCAACAAGCCTACCGCCGGAGTCACGTGGCCGCAGTCACTGGAGACGCTCAAGTTCGGGTCTGGTTATAACCAGCCGATCCACGCAGTTGTGGCCGCCGGCACTATGGCGGCTCAAGTTCGGTGCTTTTAACCAGCCAATTCACGCAGTCGCGTGGCCGCCGTCATTGCAGCGCCTCCAATTAGGGTTTAGTTTCGACAAGCCTATCACCAAGGTCGCGTGGCCGCCATTCCTGCAGCGCCTCCAGTTCGGCTCGCGCTTCAACCAAACGCTCGCTGAAGTCGTGTGGCCGTCCTCACTGGTGCAGCTCGAGTTCGGGGATTATTTTAACAAGCCCATCGCTGGAGTCGTGTGGCCAAGTCCTTAGCTGCTAAGTTCTCAATTTGGTGGTGGCACGTTCTGTATTGTGGTGTGTATGGAGGCCACCATTGACAAGATCTGTGCCCTGTCCTTCAAACACTAAATTCCTCACGTGCCTCTCTCTACTGCCTGCTGTTGGAATTTGCCAGCACAAATAGTGCAGCTGTGGCAGGCTCGGTGGATTGGTCGTTCCTGCCAGGCTGCTTCCATTACCATTGGTGCCTGAGGCGGTGGGGTGGTGCCAGCTCCGTCGGCTACATATCTACGGCACCCGCATCACAGAGTCTCGTCTTCTTCGACATTACCAAGCAACAACCATATAACACCATGGTGCACCGTTCGGATGATCTCTTTACGAAGAGAGCCTCGTCCGCACAACACATTCATTCCCCATGCCGCCCTTCTTCCTATGCTAGCGGGGTCGCTGTCCTCGCCCTCGCCACAGCCTCCGTACTCGAGGTGTACCAGATCTTCAAGGATGGTGTCGTCCTGACTGAATTGGAATTGCACAAGAAACGACCACCACTGCCGCTGCCAAGAACATATTGACCAGAAGCAGAGACAACACACACATCCTTGTCGCAACCCCTGTGTGACCTCAAATCAGTCCAAGATCTCTCCCGTCACCCATGGGTACCCGGTAGCCGGGCTTACATGTCATCGCGGCATTGGCGGACATCTGTTACCATTTCCTCCGAGAGACCGGCTCGAGCCAGTAGTTGCCACACCAGCTATCTGTCGGTCGGTTGAGTCATAGGCCTCAAAGACGTCTCAAAGCTGCGCTGAATGCGTCCTTCAGCTGGACTAGACTAATGGGGCGAGCAGGTCGTGGCGAGTTGCTTTCGCATTGAATACGCCAGACCAATGTGGACACTTTGTAAGTGACACACGAGCTGATCTACAGCAGGTAGGTATGGAAGGTGAAGAAAGTTCTGGTGGCGTCGGTAGTCTAGATGCTCCTGCGCGACACGATGCTCTCCACGCTATGTATGCTACAAATACAATCTAGAATACTCGGATCATGTAGCACGGCGATTGGTGGATAACACGCGCGCCTAATTGCGATGTTCATTGCCGTGTTCATTCGTAGGGCCTCCATTGTACGGTCCCTCGGTAACATGTTTGCGGGGATAACGGTACAATGTCGTCCACCGAGAATGAGAGCTGTGGGAGGCACTTGCAAGTGGTCTGGTGGATCGTGATCATGAACCCTGTGCACGCAACGGTTGGAAAAGTACCGACGGTTGGAAAAGCACCGAGATACCCCCCCCCCCCCCCCCAGCGATTCCAGACTTCAGCCCCCCTCGCAAAGGTGTCAAAGGGTGTGGTGCTGCTGCGTGAACGAAGCAGCCAATTCATCATGTGTGTATCGGAGCACTGCCTCGTGCTGTTGTGCAGCAGCAGTGTAGTAGACTCTTGTACGACAGCAGCGTAGTAGACGGGGGTAGGCGCTTTGTAGGGCGATGCACCGCGCCTTCCTGCTGCTGCTCACAGTCTCGCTAAACTGCTGTGCAGCCTGCCTTAGCGTGGGAACCATGAAGAAGGCCAACTTGACCCCGAGAACGATACTGCTCAGAAGGTGGGACACAGAGAGAGCATTGTCAATTGTATGGCGCTTGCTGCTGCCCTTTCGCCTACACCTGCGCTCTAGACGGATAGCCACCTTACCATGTCATTGGTTTTTGCCGTAGAGTCCGTGGGGTGGTTTCAGAACAAGGGTGGGGTTGTCGGGCAATGGTGCCGGCAGTGTACACTGTCCTAGCAGCAGCAGCGTCTTTCTACGGCACCTTGGCTGTTTAACGCGGCAGCGCCGATGGGGCCAAGTACAGTAGACATGGGGACGTGGTTTCTATGGACACCATATTTCGCGTTATGTCCTTCTGCGTACCAAGGCTAAACCTGCTGCCTGGTTGTGTATCGTTGTTTAAAATTTTAAAATTTGAACGCCACTCTGCCAGATGTGGACGGAAACGAGCCTGCATGGCATCAGCTCCACACCTCATATGGCGTAATTCCACCCGACCCCCAAATGCCTTGCGCGCCTGTTGTGCTGGCACATATCCTTGACCTCCCCAACAAGGGAAGAGTTGAGAGAAAGTTGAAGTGCGACCTCGTTTTTGGCTCTTCCGCCGCTGGAAGTAATCTACCGTGCCCGGCCTGCCTGGCGTGCGCCATGCCTGCTTGCTTCCCTCCACTTTTCTGGCGCGAATCACCCCAGGCCTCGATCTCGGCCCACCCGGTCGCCTGTGCTGGGCATTTCACCCGGTACCGCAGCAACAGCAACGCAGCAGAGATTTCGAGGCCTCGCCTTCGCGGCGCCCAGCTTCCGGCACTTTCAGCCCCACCGACGGATAAACCGCCGTCGCCCGCTTCCTTTAGCGCCTTCCGCTGCTGCTAATACCAAGATTTCGTGGAACACGCACCGAGTGTCCCTTTTCGTCGCTGGCACCGGCGAGGGAGATGGCCGGCAGAGTTCAGGCTATGGCTTTCGTCCCACACGATATCGCGGCCTTCCAGTCCCTGCACTTGCCGGCCAATTCGGCCCAGGAGGATGTTTCGGCTACACGTTTGGCGACGGTGGTCGCACGTTTTGCTCCGCCAAGAGAGGGCGGGCGGAGAAGGGGCGGTTGAGGGCGGGGGCGGGCGTGGGGGCCGAGACAGGGACGGTCAAGCTGAGGTTCAAAGATGTGGCGACGCTAGAGGAGGCAGAGGCGGCGGCGGAGCTTGAAGCGCTCTCCGAGGAAATTGCTGCCCACGATGTTCGGTACTACCTGGTGAGGCTCTCATTTCTGGCTTGTTTGTTTGGTTCGTAAGTTGTTGTGCCCCCCGGCACGTGAAAACGTTTACTCCGTTGGTTGCACATTGAGTCTCTACCCGCCACCCCCCCACACTTTGCAGGTACACCCCTTCCCCCCCCCCGTAGACCTTTCACCACCAAGAAAAATCGTACGTAGTACTTTGCTAATTCCCCCCCTACTTGCGATCCCCTCTCCCCGAACACTCGTACACACACCAGGAGGACGTACCATCCGTCACCGACGCGGAGTATGACGCCCTACGCCTGCGGAATGGGGAGATCGAGGCCGCCTTCCCGTCTCTCGTACGCTCCGACTCCCCTTCCTCCCGTGTTGGCGCCGCCAGTACCACCACCGACATGGAGGCACTCAATAACCAGCAGGAGCTGCCGGTAGCGGCAGCTGCCGCGACTTCAGATGGGGAGGGGGGAGCCGCTCCTGCAGGCCCTAAAGCTTCCAAGCGCGCCGCTCGCCTGCCGGCCGTGCGACACCTTCGTTCGCTCGGCTCGCTGGACAACGTGTTCGACGAGGAGAAGGCCGCGGAGTTCGTGGACCGCGTCCGCAGGGCGGCCGACGTCGCCACACTCGGCGAGGGAGGCGGAGCTGATCGGCAGGCGGGAGCAGCGGATGGAGCCGCGAAAAACGAGACCAAAGCGGGGGTCGAGGGGGTGCTGCCGCCGCCGCCTCCGCCGCCGCAAATGGCTGATGAAGAGGCAAGGACGGCGATGCCCATCGGGGTTGAATTGCCAGGAGCAGCCGACGGGGGAGCACTGCTAGCCGGGGGGGAGGCTCGAGCGGAGCTGTGTTTCGTGGCGGAGCCCAAGATCGACGGCCTCACGTGTGCCTTGCTGTACGAAGACGGCCGGTTCGTGAGAGCGGCGACGAGGGGGGACGGGGAACGCGGCGAGGACGTGACGGCCAACGCGCTGGCGCTCGGGGACGCCGTCATCCCACACCACCTCCCGCTTTCCTCTGCCGCTGCCGTCGCGGAGGGAGCGGACGGGGGGGCTGTCCCGACGAGGGAAGCGGAGGCAGCGGCGGCGGCGGCAGCGGCGGCAGAGCGGGCGCCATCATCTCCGGTGGTGCCCCGCGGGCGGTTCGAGGTGCGGGGCGAGGTTTTCATGTCCGATGAGGCCTTCGAGAGGCTAAACGAGGAGAGGGAGGCCGAAGGCCTGCCCGCGTTCGCCAGCGCGCGCAACGCGGCGGCGGGCAGCTTGCGCCAGCTCGACCCAGCCGTGACGCGCCGCCGCGGCCTGCGGTTCTTCGCCTACGGGGCGGCGGTAGGACAAGAGAGAGGGCGGTCGGCATCGGAGGAGGCCGCCGCCGCCGCTGTAGGCGGTGATGCCTTGGCGTCTGCGTTTGGCACCCAGGTGGGTGAACATCACGTGTCTTCCGATCGCTGTATGATACGGGCCACCACGCATCGCGTAAACGGGCTGCGGATGTTGGAGCCGTCAGTCAGTGGGTAGGTCGCTGGCAGCCAAGAGCCCTGCGCTTCTCTTTACTTCTCAAGCGAACGGGTTGCTCGTGACTGACGATTTTGTTTCTGCTCAACGGTGTGCATCTCTCAGGACGCGTTGTTGACGGCGCTTGAGGGGTGGGGGTTCGAGGTCGCGAGGCCCCGCCTGCCTCCCACGGTGTCCGCGGACGAGCTGGTAGAGTTCCACCGCAGGTTGGCGCGAGAACGTTCTTCGCTAGGCTACGCGGTGGACGGCGTCGTGTACAAGCTTGACGACCTCGCGCTCCAGGTGTGGCGCGGAGATTGTACGCTATCGAAGAAGGCCTTCGGCGCAAGCCTACTGCCGTCGTGTGTTGTTGCTCTGCGGCCATTGTCGTCAGCAGCGGCCTGCGAACGAAAAACTTGTTTGCCGGAAAAGAGAAGAGACGCAGCTGAGCACGAGATACATCTACCGGTACCCACGGTCACCCCGTCCACCATGTGCGTTCCCCCCCCGCGCGCCTTCTGAACCACGAAACGCAGCAGTGCCCTACGCACGCGTCTCGATCGCGCCGCACGAAAATTCCCTCTTCTCTCTGTCTCGGGTGCGTACATAATTTTTTGTTTTTCCTTTCTTCCCAGGAGCGGCTGGGAGCAAGCGCTAGGGCCCCGCGGTGGGCGGTGGCCCACAAGTTCGGGGCGGAGGAGGGCGAGACCGTGCTCTCAGAGATTGTCATCCAGGTGACCGAATAGTTTTGCTCCAGGTGTAAACGTACGTGCTCTTTCCATGGAGACGGTTTCGGCTTCAACTCAGCCGCGTCGCCGAACCCCGCTCCGGCTTTGGCATGTAGTGTTCCCTTGAGCGCCGCGTGACAACACCAAGCGTAGAGTATGCGCCGAAGAGGAACGAATATTGCCGTATGACCCCAGACGAACCCGTCGTAGCTGTGGGTACGTACCGCAAAAAGAGCGGGGAAATTAATCCAATGACCAAGAACAAACTCCCCCCCCCCCCCCCCACATCGGGGTTTGGGTTTTCGTCGCTTGGCAACTATCAAGCCCCCCCCTCGGTGTTTGCCATCGGGATTGGGTTTTCGTCGCTTGGCAACGACGTTGTAAAACAAGCCAATTCACTTCGTGAACTCGGCAACCAGGTTACCGTTTTTTTTTTTACCTCGTTTTTTTTTTTTGCGGCAACCATGAATGGTGGTCGAGTAGAATCATGTTGTGCGGGGTGGAGAAGCCTCACTCCGCGCAAGGGGGATGATCGCACCACGTTGTGGTTAAAATTGTCAAGCATCCTCGAGGCAGTTACACAGTGCTTACAACTGTCTCTGGAAGTGAAAGCACCAGAAAATAAATTAAGTCATACGTAGCTGTCATTCGTACGCAAGGAAGTAAGCACAAGATGCCGAACACCCTTAGCAGGATGCAGCTCACCCTTCATGCGACTCGCCAAATACCTCACGGCGCTTCGCGCTTGGTGGTGTGAGAGCCTGGTCCGGTGAGAACCCGGCGTGCTCCGTCCCGGCTTTGTAGGGATGCGAGGTCAATGGTCAAACGACTACGGCATGCACGACTATGAGTACACCCCCCCCCCCCCCACACACACACAAGTGAAACGTAGCAAGTGAAACGTAGCAAGTGAAACGTGGGCTGGGCCGGAGGAAAGCCGGCATATCGCTCCGTCTCGGCATTGTAGGAGTGCGAGGTCAACACTTGGTCCACCCCCTCCCTCCCACGGCCTCCCGGCACCACACACACCCGAGGGCAGGTCGGGCGCACGGGAGCGCTCACCCCGGTGGCGGTGCTGGAGCCCGTGCTTCTCGGAGGGGCAACGGTTTCGAGGGCAACGCTGCACAACGCGAGAGAGGTCGAAGAGCTGGGGTTGCGCCCTGGCGACCGGGTCAAGGTTCGGTGAGATATGGAGGCTTTTGGGGGTGGCGGGGAGGGAGTCAGGAGTCGGCGGTATTGCTTTGGCCCAGGAAGTTATTGTGTCGACCATTGGTTTTGTGGGTGTGTTTTTTTTTCTGTTGCTGATTATTCATTACTGAGGAAGCACTTAAGGGGCAGATGTCGCAGGTTTGTTTAGTATTTATGAACATGAAGAGATATGGGTGAGGACGTCGAGTTATGAAATCCAGCGTGTCAAGGGCAGTGGGGTTGGGTTATGGCGTCCTCTCTGTCCTTGTCTGCGGACCGCCTGCCCGCTCACAAGCACTGGCGTCCACCGCGCGAAGCACACCACTAAGGCACTGGTAAGCCACCGCGCCCCTTCGAGCTTGTACCCTTTTGTCCAGCCCGTGTCGCCTTATCCGTTCAAATCGAAGGATTATCACGAAGTGGTCTCAAAAGCGTCTCGCATGAGTATATTTCCGTATGCATACCGTTGCCATATCGGGCTTGACGGATGAGCGCCTCCATGTGCGTGTTTTCGTGGATCAACCGTTAAGGCGGGCGGGAGACGTCATCCCCCAGGTGCTCGGACTCGCGTCGCCCCCACACCCGGACAGCAGCAGTGCTGGCGAAGGCGATGACGACAGCGCAAGGTTTGCGTTCCCGACATGCTGTCCCGCTTGCGGCACGCCGGTGGTGAAGGAGGAGGTGAGCGTGGCACGATGGGCGGGGGTGGGGGGTGTTTAGAGTTGGTTTCTGGCGATTCAGCAGATTTTGTGATTCGTTAGGCCGATTTTTTTGTGCTCTTTTTGCGCTTCTCGGAACTGGCTGCGGTTTGTAGCATTGGCCTTGGTTCTTAGAGAAAGCTTTGGTTCACGTGGAAAATATTGTTGTTGTTTTTTCTTGAAAGAGTTGAATTCGATCGCGGAATGCACCAAATTGGATTTTTTGGCGTGCAGGATTGGTGTTTTGCCACACAAGTTGATTGGGCAAAGCAGACCGGCAAAGGAGAGCCCCCGCAGATGGCACCCACGAACGCTTTCCAACACCAGAAAACCACGCAAGATGTTTACCGTCGTCTGTTTTGACAGTCGCGCGGGAGAGTAGGAGTCCTTCGCTGTCGCGGGGCGTGCAGCGATTTCCGACCACTACAACCGTTCTTTTGCCTTCAACAATGTTTTACCAGCGCAGACCACAGGAGCTATAGCTCTTGCGCCACAACACCGTCCGCGTTTGTATCCCCTCGCCTCCTGCCCGCGACACCTCCCGCGGGCTCTGCATGAAGCCCCGCGCTCTCGGGAGTCTGTAGGAACAAACCACCCTCCCTTGTTGTCTCACTGGCCCCGCCCACCCTCCTGCACTATTCGGCCTCGCCCCACCAGGACAAGGCCGTAACCCGCTGCCCGGCGGGCCTGAGCTGCCCAGCCCAGGCGGTGGAGCGGCTGAAGCACTTCGTTTCCAAGGGAGCGTTCGACATTCAGGGGCTAGGCCCGGCAAGGTGTGGTGGGTGGATATTTACCTTGCGATGTGGGACATAGATTGAGCACGTATTACCTTGCGATGTAGGACATGGATCGAACACGTACACCTTGCGATGTAGGACATTGACTGAACAAGTATTGCCTTGCGATGTAGGACATAGATTGAACACGTACACCTTGCGACGTAGGACATAGATTAAACAACGTGCGTGCTGTTTGTGTTTACGTACCCTAGGGGACGACACAACCGCAACGGAAAAGAAGAAACTAACGTCCAGATGTCTTGTACAAGCTTGTCGTGATGTCGTTTTGTCAGACCAGCGAAGGGTATGGTATGGTATAGTATGGCGATGGCTGCGCCTGCCCGCAAGTAATTTCGGTACCTCGTGTGCCTGTCTATTGTGCGTTGACAATCGTCATCGAGGCAGTACGGACTTGCTTGCGTACAGCACGAGTAAGAGCTTCCTTGGTAAACGGAACAGTTCGTTTGGAGTTGTGTATTGTGTGTGTTCGATCCGTGCGTTGCCGTGCACATATGCAGCCTCGTTTTCGTCAATGCAAGAAGCAGCAGCAGCAGAGTGAACGCACCCCGACTGCCAGCTCTCTCCCAATCTTCCACCTGAAGTATTGAAACACCTATAAACCCGCCGCCGCCACCGCCGCCACCAACACCATCTCCGACGTCGACACAACCACCGCCACCAACCAACACCCACAGCTTAACCCAAACGCCGAAATGAATACTGTACTGCGTGTGTTCCGATCACCGTTTGTCGATGGGCGGTTAGACTGCTCGAGCTGTACGAAGCTGGGATCGTCCGCAGCCCGGTCGACGTCCTCAGGCTGCGCTCGCAGACAGCGGTGCAAGCGCAGCCGCCGCCGCCGCCTGCCGCCGCGGCCCCTCTGGCCGACCAACGAGAGAGGGACGTGGAAGACGGGCTCGAGGGCGCCTCCGTGAGAGACGGTAACAAAGGCGAAGATGGTGGCGACAAGAAGAAGAAGAACAGCAGAAAGAAGAGGAAAGTGAAAAAGAAATCGTCGAGCGCCGCAAAGAACCAAAGTGGGGACGGTAACAGTGACCGAAATGATCGGGAGGAGGAGGAAGAGGAGGAGGAGGAGGAGGAGGAGGAGGAGGAGGAGGAGTCGATCCTGGAGGGGAGGGAAGGGTGGGGGCGGTTGTCCGCGAGGAACGTGCTGGATGCGGTGGACAGAGCCAAGGACGGCGTGTCGCTCGGACGGTGAGCGGAGTGTGGTATTTGGCGTTTTTAGAAGCCGAGATCAAACCATTAGACTAGTCAGCGGTGACTATTCCAATGGTTTGATGTTGGCTTATTTATGCTGTGCGTTATTCGGACATCAGGGCTAAATTTTTTGAGACCGAAATCAAACCATTAGACTAGTCAGCGCTGACTCGTCTAATGGTTTGATTCCAGGTGATTTACGTTGTGCGTCATTCGGACCCCACATCTAACTTTTTTAGAAGCCGACATCAAACCGGTTGTAGCTTAATCAGCTTTAATGGTTTGATTCCTGTATGTTGTGCGGCCGTGGTAAAGCAGTGGTGGTCTGTGCGAATGCTCGCGTGGATTTGGTCGGTGGTGTTGTAGAAGGCCGATGAAATATCTTAACGCGGATGGAACCGTTCAACTTGCCCAAGATAAACATTTTCGAATCTACGTGTTTGGGTGTATTTATTTCCCTTGGACGCGAAGCAGGCCAGATCCGCCGTTTTTGTCGTGTGTGTGATTGACACATTTTTTTTGTATGGGCTTTAGAAGGATCTCAGCGCATTTATTTCAAAGGAACCTTCGTGAGTACCAGCAGACCGCGGCGGTGCAGGCTGGCAGGTAGACAGCGCTTGGTTGTTTTCCCGAGTTGCCTCCGTCTTCTTCGCGGCGCAAGGGGGAGCGGGCTCCGTGCCGACGCAGTGTGCTCAACGTACACGCAGCGTTGTTGTCATCCTATTTTATCTGCATCATACGTCTTGTCCTCTCACCGTTCGGTGCGTTTCTGGACGCTCCAGCCAGCGTCGTCACCCAACAGTTTGGTTTCTGTTTTGATGTTTTCGTCTTTCTTCCGGTCTCTTTTCTTTGTCAACCGCCTTGTCACTCATTCGCCGTCGCTGCTGCTGCTGCTGCTGCTGCCGCCGCCGCCGCCCTTACTCCTCAGGTTCATTTATTCCCTGGGTGTTCCACTCGTGGGCGCGCGCATGGCGGAAGTAATCGCGGAGGAGTTCAACGGAGAGTTCGAGGCGTTTTGGGGAGCGCTCACAAGGTCAGTCGACCCCTGCTGTGTGGCGAGGCGGCGTGCGGAAGGGTTGGTGTGCGCCCATGACGCGACTCTTGTTCGCTCTGTAGCAATCGACTCCTAATTTTTTCTCTCGGCAATTGTGATGGGTCGTTCAAGGTCTATGGGTGGGGGTTGTTGTAGTTGGTGGTGGTGGTGGGTGTGGTGTCGTTGTTGTTGTCACCTTGTCACAAGAAAAAAAAAACATTCTGTCCTCTACAGTTCAACGTTTCTTCTCCCGCTTTCTTGAAGGAGAAAGACCAACGTTTCTGTGGCCACCGGCGCTATGTACTGTACCCCAACTCAACGTGAAAAAAAAAACGCCCCAGGTAGACGAGGCGTGTTCACCGTGAGGTGTGTGATCTAGGGACTTTTTTATCTTTCGGTTTTCCAGCTGTGTTGGCGTTTGCTTTTTGGTTGTTAGCCGGCCACTGTCTCAATCGCCCGATGTACAAGGCGGGTGGGCATGACCACCTAATCCCTGTGAAAAAGTATACCTTTAATTTTCAGCCCCTCGGTGTGTTGAACTGTCGTTGTCGATTGCGCCAAACGGCCGTGTGCCGTATGGCGTGGGTCGAATTTATCGTGAACCTTGGAACGTCCGCTTCTCTTGTTGCGTCCTTGAGCTGACTCTTTTTTTTCGTCATCCCTCCCCGTTCCTTCCGCCAACACTCATGGCAAAACTTGCTTCTTCATTGCCGGTGTCACACGCACTCCCGGAGAGCAGGGCTTCCGACACCTCCCAAGGGCTAGAGGCGGCCCAACACACCCGAGACAGAGAAACCGCTGCCGTCGCCAACACCGCCGCTGAACGAGAAGAAACCAGCGCCGCCGCCGCCGATGCTGCCGCCGCCGCCGCCGCCGCCGCCACTGTTGCAGTCGTCAACGGCACCGGCCCGACTGAGCCCGCCGCTGCAGAGGCGTTCCAGGGCATCCAGGGCATGGGCCCGGCGATGCTCGCCTCCCTGCTTCGCTTCGCGAAAGCCGAGAACGGCAATCGGCCGGTGGTGGAGGCGCTCGCTTCGGAGGTCCGGTTCTCGGCCCGGGCTCGTCGGCGTCATGCGGGGGGGGGCGAGTGGATGGTGGCATTGGATGCGGTCGTACGCAAGGGGGGGGGGGGGGGGTCCGCAGGCGGCGGCGCTTGGGTGGAGGGGAAGACTGTGGTCTTCACCGGGACTTTGACGAGGTAAGCAAGTAGGGGGGGGACTGGAGGGCGCCTGGTCGGTCGGGCCTGTTGGCTGTTTTTTTTTGGGGGGGGTGGCGAGGAGATGGGAGTGGTGTGAAGTGTCGTGTGTGCAGCATATGGCTCAGGGATTGTTTTTTGTTTGTTTGGGTTTTCGGGTGTGCACTCCACAGGGTAAGTCAACCTGTGACCACGGGAATCGACCGCGTCGAGTGTTGGATCAGTACGGACATACGAAGGTACTGGGTAGAGAGAGATCGGAACGGTTTTTAATGTGAAGACAACAACAACAACAACAACAACAACTCCGCTGTGGGCCATGCAAATCGGTACACGCCCCGCTGTGTCTTGTTGCCGCGGAAATGTTTGGACGCAACTGCTGCGGGGATGATATGATTGATTCCTACTACTGTATGCAGGGACGACTAGGTTCCTTTGTATGGGTGTGCGTGCCACGCTTCGCCGCCCCCTCTTCTCTCTCCGACACCAATCATCAACCCGGTTTGGTTTATCATCGCACCACCTCGTTCGAGTTGTAGACAGCAGCGTTAGGAACAACATGCCTGCCCTTTTTCCTCGCCTCCCTCGTCTATGTATGTGTCACGCCTGAAGTCGTACGGGAGGAGGCTCAGGAATGGGAGTCTGGATAGATATCGTTTCCGCCCCTATTCCATCTGGATGACCTCGTAAATGAAGGACCGACGGCAAGGTGACGGATCGCTGAAAAGTCTTTTTTTTTTTTTTTTCACAACCCTAACCAAGGAACCCCAAGGAACCCGCAGAGCAAACCCACGCCCCATCATCCCTCGTCCCCCAGCACCACAATCTGACCCCTCCCCGCCCCGGCCGACCTACGAACGCCTAAAAGGATGAAGCGCACGGAAACGCAAGAAGCGGCCCGCGAGTTGGGAGCTCGCGTGACGGGGTCTATCTCTCGGAAGACGGATATGGTAGTGGTGGGGCTCAACCCCGGCGGCAAGCTGGAGAAGGCGCGGGAACTCGGGGTGGAGGTGGTGTCGGAGGAGGAGTGGTACCGGAGAATCGGCCTCCCTCCATGAGAGCCCCGGCAACGGTCGAGGCGCGTGCGCGGGGGGGGGGGGGGGGAGGGGGTT